AGAGAAAGCCCCAACAATCCCCTCTGAGCAAGCACCAGTGGGAAGGAAAAGCTGCCTTTAAACGGGCAGAAACCTCCTGCAGAACCAGGCTCAGGAGGGGGCAGTCAACCGCTGGGACTGGTAGGGGGATGAGGAAGGGAGAGAGGGGAGAAAGAGGGCAGAGGAGAGGTGAAAATTAAGATGGAACAGAGGTGGAGGAAGACAAGGTGTTACGACCTGGCTCAAAGGCCGCAACATAAAAAAGGAGACGAACACCAGATTGTTAGTGAGAAGAGGTTTTATCTTAAAATAGAATACCAGGTTGGCTAAAATAGCTGTGCCACCAAGGCAAAGACAAGCGAGCTCCCTGGAAGCTTTCCTCAGGTATGCTTTTATCCACACCTGACTAGGTGTGGCCAATTAGCACCAGCTGAACACATTGAGATGATTAGGGGCTGCAGAGGGACGTAACACGAGGCTACAGCAGGCGGGGAAGCATGCCTTCCAACTGCTCATTTCTTCTCTGGATTTCTTGAAGCGTGAGCTGCAGGTCTTCATGTATTTTCTCTTGTTGTTGCTTTTGCGCCTGCATTTCAGTGTTTTCGCGCTTCAAGTTGCTGAAGTTCAGCATAATCCCCTTAATGAGCTCCGAGTTGTTTTTCGCCATTCCATTGATCCTATGCTGCATCTCCGAGTTTCGCTTTTCCACTTTTTCCTTTTCTCATTCTAGTTCGGTTGTTTTGTCCTTCAAAGTCACCGTTCCATCCATTCATGATGATGAATGGAGGGAACATGAATGTCTGCTAAAATAAAGAACACACTGTTTCTTTAAGAACAAACAAAGACAGCATAAACCGAATACTGTCAGTGTAGAGCACAGGTGTCGAAATCCAGGCCTCGAGGGCCGGTGTCCTGCAGGTTTTAGATGTGTCTTTGATCCAACACAGCTGATTTAAATGGCTAAATTACCTCCTTAACATGTCTTGAAGTTCTCCAGAGGCCTGGAATGAACTGATCACTTGATTCAGGTGTGTTGACCCAGGGTGAGATCTAAAACCTGCAGGACACCGGCCCTCGAGGCCTGGAGTTCGACACCCCTGGTGTAGAGGATGGACATAAAGGACAACTCATGACCATCTGCTGACATCTTGTTGAATTCAGTTGTGTACATCCACACAGAGCAGCAGGTCAGCTGATCACAGCCTGCACATTAATAAAATCTACTGAGTTCTCAATAGAAATTATTTTTGCGTTGTCATTCTTTTCCCCACGCTGAGCCATTGCAACCCATTTTAGGATTCCCCCACCTGCTCAATCCTACTTTAGCCCCTGACTGTGCACATTTTCCCGTTTAGAGGCAAACTCACTCTATGCAATGTAGGCAACCGAAAATAAAGAGATTGTTTTTAATTTTAATTTTTCTTTAGATTCAAGCTAAGTATAATCAGAATAATAAAATATTATACTAAAGTTTGTATTCCCATCTGCTGATTTTATTTTATCATTAGGTAATATGGCACAAGGTTCAGTTAGCTCTGGACAAAAATAGAAACGTCCTTCAAAAAGCTATTTTCACTTTCATACTTTAAGTATATTTCACTGTACTTTTTTTTATTTGAGTAGAGAAGTTTAATCAATACTTAGACTATTACTGGAGTATTTTTTAACAGTAGTATCTGTACTCGTACCTAAGTACCGAATGTTTGCCACCTCTCTGAACAGAATCAACTTTTTGGGACTTCTTTACCTGGATGATTGAGCATGCATCGGTCAGTGTTTCACTGTGTTTTTCTATCCACAGTGGAACACTGCCGTGGGGGGTGCTTTTACTGCATTGGCAGTGTCTTTGCAATCACCCTCATAATGAAAAATAAAACTGTTGCCAATCAGCTTCTTTCCAGTTGATATGTATGGTGCATCAATTTTAAAATTCTTTTCTACATAAAACATGTTGCTGCTGACTTTTGGTCCAGTTCTTGTGTAACTTGGCATATTTCATCCTTTGCTCCTTGTTTTCTGTTCTTAAGAATGGCTTCTTGACAGCTGCCCTTCCACTGAGACCATTTCCGTGGAGGCTTCAGTGAACAGTGGATGGATCAACTGAAGGCCAGATGCATATCTCAGGTCCTGTATCGGATCTTTCCTGTTTCTTAAGGACACGACTTTAAGATACTGTTCATTTGCTGTAAATATTTTATGTAGCCCTGTCACTTTTTCCTTTGTCTTCCACTTAGCCAGTTTCCAAACACTTTTGTTACTTTTCATATATTCAGCTAAAGAAATGAGAGTAAGTGATGTTTTTTTTTATGCCTTTTCAAAATACTTTTTAGCCAGTTTGCAGTTTGCACTAAAACAACTAAAAAGCATCTCAGTGGTGGGTTGCTGGTGGATTCTGGCGTGAGAAGAAGTGAGTTACAGCTATTTCATTGTCAAAGGCAGTGTGTCGCATCTCAACATGCTAGTGTATGTCGAAATAAAAACCATGATAACAAACCATCCCTCTGACTCCCTCTGACCCCTGAAGAACGGAAGGGGAACAGGGAGCAGGCAGCGGCACTGAGAGTGACTCTAAATGATGGGGACAATATCTGAGAGCGTGTAAATGTCACCATGGATCTTCTGGAGGTGTCAGACTGTTGAACACAGGCCCCCACGGGAGTATCGTAAAAAAAATAAAATGAAAATAGGAAAATGGCAGGGTAAGAAGGGAAAGAGTTTTAGGTCACATTCACATCAAGTGTGGTTAGCTCAGTTGGATTCTGGAGTGAACTTTTTTGGGGGGGATTTTGTGCAGCAACATGGCTCCAACCACATGAGAAGGGAGTAAACTGTTGTCTGGCATGTCTAAATAAGCACGAGCACAGAAAACTACAATTAACACAGCGTTCCCTCCAGACCAACAACTCATTAGTCCTGAATCACTCACACAGTATAAGCCCAGAGATAAATTCAGCACATAATAAATCGTGTTCGGCACGTACTCTCCGTGCGATCGGCTCCCGTCTCTATCAGACAGCTGCTGGCTGGTAGCTGCAGCTCGATAACAGCCCGGACTGTTTACTGATCCTTGCAGGAAGCTGACACTCATACAAGAGTGGCCTCTGGATTTTGTGAGTAAAGTCCATAGCTTAGGCCTCAGCATATGTAAGTGAGAGTGGCTGGGGGAGATTTAGCTATCACAAGGAGGAATGTAAATTGTCAAACATTAGTTATGCCTGCTCGGAGCATTTGTTTGAAACTGTATTCTCTACTCTGTGAAAGCTGCTGGTCCTCTAGTGTGTTCTATTTGGATTATTTTTCAATTCAGTTCACTTTTAATTTTTTATGGCGAAAAGGTGCTTTATATTGTCAAGTCAAATGACCCCATTTGAGCAAGCATTTTGGGTGACAGTGGGAAGGAAAAACACAAGGGTCAGGGAGGGGCAGCCATCTGCCTCAACCAGTTAGGGGTCCCCATTATAATTTTTCCTTATGTTCCGCCTCTGAAATATAAACCACTAAAACAGTCAAAGTTTTCTATCCATCCTCTTCTTCTCTTCGGGGGGTGGTGGAGCCGATCCTAGCCACAAACAAAATTTTATTTAAAAAAAGAAAAAAAATAGGCCAGTATCCATAAAAGTCAAAAGATCGGGGTACAGACACAAAATGGTCCGCTTTACATTGTTGTTTTTTTCCCTCTTGACTCTGTCTGACGTCAGTGAGAGTAGAAACGAGGCCCCCTCGCCCGCTGCTCAAACCTATTGCCAAACCTGCTTAAAGGGAGAGTGCAGTGAGCTGAAACGTCTTGTTTTAGACAGTGGATGAACTGAGAGGGTACACCCAGGTGCTAACTAAGGTAAATAGCTTAATAGTGAAGCATGCAAAACCACTTTAGCCCAAGAATAAAAATGCACAGCTAGAATTGCACATGATAGCTCACCTTTTCATGCAGCACTTTAAAATATAGCTATCATAA